ACTCAGTATTACTTCACTCTGAAACCTACTTCACTTCTTATTAAACATTTCACGTCAATATGGGCCATCCAAAAAGAAAGGTATTGAGACCTATAGAGCACACACCTTCTTCCGGAGGCTCCTGAAATTGTCTCTCAGCCTCGAAGCGTGCGAAGCAGATGACGAAGCCCAGGCAGCCGATTGAGAGACAGGCTTAAGATTCGACTGAGGCAGGTTAGGAGCTCCGCCTCCATTGATCGACGCCACAGGCGTATCGTTCATGCGGGCCATAAACTTGCTAATAACACGGTTGAGAATAAGATTGAAAGCCGTCGCCTCCCCACTCGACACAAACGCCAAGCCAACAGGACAATCGTCGCCTTGGAGGATGGCAAATTCACCATACGCGGTGTAGCTCATCTCGATAAATATGCGTTGTTCAAAGAGTTGAGTCATATTCACCATGTCGTAAAGACGGATGTAATAAAAGTGTTCGGCATCGTCTCGCTCTATTGTTGCGACACCCCTGTGACAAAGCTGCCAACTCCCATGACCATTCGACTTATAGAGCTGCAGTACAGCGAAGGTCCGCGGCACGCGGTTGGGTCGGAGGTATTCTAGAAGACGTTGATTCTCCTTAGAACTAAGCAGCTGGCTAGCCGCAGCGACTACCTATTGCCAAAAAAATACAAGATTAGCTGTAAGACTTAGGGAAAGACAGATTCATAAAGGTTCCCCATGCAGTAGGCTAATGATAGATTGGCTTACAACAAACCCAATTTAGCAACTCACGCACACACGTAGCAGGCGGACAAATGTAAACACCATCGCGAAATAAGTGACGATGAAACATGCACGTCATTCAGAGGTCATATTGAAGAATACAACAAGGCACAACCCCATGAAATGATTAAAAGCCCACTCAAAAGCTATTGGAAAGAACAAATAACTCCTCTCCAGTAAGGCTTTAACTAGTCATAAGCTACCTCTTCCGACAAACGAACCCATAACGACAAGATAAGCACAAATAACACAATTTTACTTAGAACAATTGAATCTTTCAAGGATACAAAGGATACAAGTTACAAAAAAATATGGGTAAATAACAGGCTTCGTCCAGTCCTCGGTGGTTAAACAGCTGACAATAAAACGCACTGCCTAATCAAATCACAAACAATGCAAAACGAGATGATTGACTCTGGAGTAGGTAATTCTGGAGTGAAATGCCATGAAGATGAAATTGTTTCCCAAGGAAATGAAAGAAGGGAGTAGCAGGGAGAAGGGCTTGTAAGAACAGCCAAAGTTCCACCTTCCTCTAACAAAGAACTTGTAAACTTGGGGACTAATTCCTGAGCTTTTAACTTGTATCTATATGACACATGCATATTGATAAACTCAAGTACGGTAGGAACGCTAACCACTAGAGGCATGGGCCACAAAACCAATTTGGGACAGACAAAGCACTCTCGATCTACTTACACCGAGTCTTCTATGCATATCTAATATCCAGAAGGAAGTGTCGAACCAAAGTTATTCACAGATTAATCAAATAAAGAAGTAAAATCCT